AGAAAAATTGAAAATTATAACATTTAAAAATAAAAACACTGCAACTGAGTTATAAATAATTATTACATAAATATACTTGAGATCTTTGAGCTGTTTCGAAGCTTCATTCCGCTGTTTCTTGATATCATCAGAGTCCCTGAGAGCTTCTGCTAGGTCGGACACTGCTCGATCACGCTCCTTCCTCAGCCGATCACAAAGAGTACGGATGCTCTCTCTTTCTAACACAATCTTATCTCTCTCACTAAATGCCCAATCTCTCCGCCTCTTCGAAACCTCAGCTTCTTGTGTAGCCTCTGTAGTAGAGAAAGGAACAGTTTCAATGGAACTTGATTGATTCTTTCCTGTTTCAGGCAACTGGTTATCACATAAGCATAATAATATAAAATGTACAGTTAAAATTGTACCTTAACTCTTTGCCTGCAATGCACCTCCTTGAAAACATCTACTACAAATGCCACAGTGCTGTTTAGGTAAATATACCTTTTTTTAAAGAATGATTCATTCTGCATCTTAATTAATACAAGTCTGACTCACAGAACATATTTTTCATCAGGAACTTCAGAAATAAACAACATGCACAAGTTTCAACCCTGGCATTTAACATAAATGATAATCTTGTCATTTAACAATAAATAACTTTTTTCTCTTTGTTTATACTTACCTTGAAGCTCTACTTGCAATTTATCCAGCTGTTTCCGTAATCTATCAATCTCTTGGTTTGCTTGATCCAGATTATCCATTCTTTCTTTTTGAGATTTTCCATACATATCCCTTGTGCTTTTTAGAACTTCTGTCTGATCTTCTCTTAAATTATCACTAAACAGGAAAGGTAATGTATATTTGCAGAAGAAATATTCAAACCTGCTGTATTAATTTACATATTTCAAGCTATTCTTAAAACTAAATATGTCACAGAAAAAATTAAAAATATAATTTAATTAGTATTATAATACTTTACAAAACACCAGCTTATTGAAATGTCTTACATGGAAACATACTTGAATTACTATAGGTATGTAGTGAAAAGATATATTTACACTACACTTTTAACTCCCAAAGGAAGAATTTTGTACAGACAAAGCATAATCACAATTCATGCATCCATTATGAAATAACATTATTTACACAATACACAAATGACACATTGATGAAAACACCCTATTTCACAAATCAGAAATATAATTAATACAAATATAACTGAAAGCCCATTCATCCACAAACTGTTAAACTACACGCAGTTTATGAAAGTACATACCGTTCCCTGCTGCAAGAATTGTACTCCACTCTAGACTTTAAACCTTCTCTACTGGATTCTTCTTTTGCTGTGTATTCACCAAACTTCTCCCTCAAATCATTACATTCCTTCAATGCTTTATCACGATCATGTAGTGCAGATGCAATTTCACGCTTCAAAGTTTCTATTTGATATGACAGAGCTTTTTTCTATAATACAGTAGAAACATGTACATCAAATCACATAAAAAATACTGTGAAAGATAAAAAATTAACCTCATTATGATTCACGTGGCAGAGACACATTACACTGAAATATATGTGTACAACAGATTCTAATATACATGCATTATTGTACTGCTCTAATCTGGACGACAACTCAGAGATATACACAATAACAATTAAGAATTGTATAATTACGGAAAGAAAAAGTTAAATATATAATTAAGTCTCGTGCATAATTCAATTTCTTTAAACAACTTATATTCAACCTTGGAAATGGAGGTATGCTCCTCTGAAACACTGGTAACCACCAAGAAGACTACACTACTATACAGCCCTGAAGACTGATATCAACAATTCTTTATATTGTATAAAACTGTATCATGCCTATTAATGTGCAATGTGACCTTAACATAATAGTTCAAAGGTCAAATGCAATTTATGAACAGACACATTAAAGTGCAAATAAAACCAAACTTTTTGTTCCTTGTATTTACTTCAAAAATTATATAAGTCTTTATTTAGCATAAAACAGCCCCTCATAAGCATTATAAAACTTGACTGATACCAATTTCAAAACACTACCCAAATTAAATGTATTTGTATTCTGTCACTCTGATTTTCAACGGTCTTTATATTGCACAGAGGACATTAACAGAACAAAAACATATGAAATGCATAATTTTTAATGATTCAAACCAATTCTTGTATTCTGAATCCAGCAGTCCCTGAATTATAAACTAAACTACATTGTAACACAAAATTATAAGCCATTTTACATCCAACAATGGCCACGTTAGAAATACTGCAGCTGTTACACAGAACATTTTCAAACTTAAAACATAAACCGCACCCTCATTTTATGTTGGGGTTGCCATATGGAGAGGGGGGAATAAATCATTTAGTAACCTTGACAGGTTTTAAGGCATAGCTTATTAATTTCTTAAACTAAATAATTGTAAGATCCACCACACCACAGCAAATGCTCATTATATTTATGGCAAATCATTTGTGAGCAGCAGCTCACTTGCTTTTATCCTTTCACATTCATATGAAAGAACAGTTTGGTTATTTATAAACAATTTTGAATATATTATAAAAAACTGTTTCATGTGTTAAGGGAGAGTATAAGGCTGGTTATTCTTTTGACATCTTTTATTAATAAAAATATGAATAGTGAATGTAAAATTACCTCTTCAACAAAATCCTTGTTCTCAACTTCCAATGTCTTATTTTTTTTGAAAGCCTGTGTAAGATCATCAGACAGCTTTTCCATTTCCTTGTGCACTGTGTCCCTCTCACTCATGATGAGGGAGTATTCCTGCATTGCAGCATTCCTCTCTTCTGTAAGCCTCTTCAGGTCCTTGCTGGCCTTCATTCTTACAGCCATAGCCTGATTTATCTCTTTCACTGCTTCTTCATGTTGTTGTTGAACTTTAGCAAGAGCTTCTCTGTATTCATTCCTTTCACGAAGAGCAATATCCCATTGACGTATCGCAGAAGTACACTGCTGCTTCAAGCCATTACGTTCTCGGATAGCAGAATTTCGCTCTTGAGCTACTTCATCACATTGCTTCTTCAAACGGGTCACTTCTTCCTGCAGCACATATTATAAAATGAATTAACAAGGATAACTTTATATCAACCTTGCAGTAGAAATAAAATCAGGGATGTATTAAGGCCACCCAGGTCTCACAATTTAAATCACCAAACCTAGAAGTCATTATTCATCAATTAACAATTCACAAATAGATTAAATTACTAGGCACTAATGGCAATGAATTAAGTGTAAACAGGTGTTTATGTGCACAAATTCAATTTTTATCACATTCCTCAAATATAACTTCAAGTATGAAATGCGTGTAATTCTTCATAACACACTGGTTTTTTGTTGCTGTGAAATGTTAGCCAGCGAAGGAACAAAAAATGTTGGTTGTCTATAACTGTTTATTCATTATAGTCAAAGTTATTCTCCATATCTGTAGGTCTTCTCCTCCATCCAAAACCTGAGGGTAAGACATGAATAATGCAAGGAGAAATAAGAAATTAATACAAAATTTTAGCTGGAAAACCTCAAAAAAATAGATACCACTTGTGCGACTAAGGCATAGATGGGAGGATAATACCATAATAAACATTAGACAAATACAGTACATGAACCTCCTAGTTTCAAGAACAAGAAAGTACTTACCTGCCTACTATTTACACACTATTCACGAATGATCCTACACAACAGCATTAACTAGTTCAAGTTAAAGTAATAAGGAACTGTACCTGTGCTAGTTCCAGTTTATTTACTGCTGATGTATGAGAAGAGATCAAATCATCATAGCGTTTCCTTAATGAATCATATTCATCTTTTATTGCTTCATATTTCCGTAGGGGATTGATGTAATGCTGATTCAAAGCATCACTTGTCCCACTCTCACTAACAATCACATCCTGATAACAAAAGAAAAAACACAAATTGGGAAACAGTTTCATTAATTTTTCATCGCACTGGATTCCTTTATCTAATTCCTCTATAATAATTCATTCACCGTCGATACACAAACTTAAAATGTTGTTAAAATTTACTTAAAATTACATAAAATTACAACATTTTTTAGAATTAGATCTTGATACATTTCACATTTGACGACATGTTTCGGTGTATTACACCATCATCAGGTCAATCAATTTAAAAACTGTTTTAAAAGCTGTTGTACATCCTGCTCCGCGTATATTGATACGTTTGACTGTTTTGATTTCTTCCTTTTAATGCTTGGATGTTTATATCGGGTTGTAAGTGATGCGTTGTACGTCCGATATTATGGGGCGCGGAGCAGGATGTACAACAGCTTTTAAAACAGTTTTTAAATTGATTGACCTGATGATGGTGTAATACACCAAAACATGTCGTCAAATGTGAAATGAATCAAGATCTAATTCTAAAAAATGTTGTAATTTTATGTAATTTTAAGTAAATTTTAACAACATTTTAAGTTTGTGTATCGACGGTGAATGAATTATTATATTGATTAAACACAAACATGACGCAGTTAAGATATAAACTAATTCCTCTATTACAAGACCAATTAAAACAATAACAAATAATAATTAATTATTACATAAATGGTCTTGGATTGAAGAAAACATCAGCAAATCCAGTCAGGCTAGCTGCCCTATAGAATTCATTTAGGAATCCCAAGAATAATAAATATTATACTGTGATGTAACCTCAAAAGTAGCCCAACTGGGTATAGGGCCATGTTTAGCTGAACGTTGAAGCAATAAACTCCCTGTGATGTGTCTGGAAGTTATTGTTCTCACCATTCCCCTCTTTACAAAATACAATTGGAAAGCAGAGATCTGGTAATGAAAGCAAGTGCATGTGTCAATAGTGTAGCTAAACCATGAATTTGTGGGTAAGATGCAGTCGTGGTTTGGGTGACTCAACAAGTCACTTCCAAAAATAAATCCTAAACACATAACTTTTTGGGGGGGGGGGGGGGGGGGGGGCAGGGGAATGAAAACAAAACTGCACACTACCCTGACGATCATAACACTGATGAGAAAGGCATTAACAGGTCCCCACAGCACCTACCATGGAGAATTGACTGCATAAACACTTGTCACAGTGGCTATTACAGAATATAATTACAAAACATTCTTCCACTGCCTTTATAGATCAGTCATACCTCTTGTTGACATCTAAGTTCTGTCACTTCCTTCTGCAAACTTTGTAGGTCCCGATCTAGACGCTGCTTTTCTGATGCCAGATCAGCATATTTAGAGCGTAAAGTGGAAGATTCCTGAGCAGCGGCCTCCAACTGGTTCATTGCCGCTCTGTGTTGTCCCCGGTAATATTCCAATTCTTTCATGGTGTGATCACAGCGACGGATTGTCTCACTATGCTGCCTATCCAATAAATTTAAACAAAATTTAATTCAACTTATCTAGGTCATGTAAATGTTACATTTCATGACACATTTAATAACACACTTCTTGATAAAATTTTGATCTCAGAAAGATGTAGAAAGACATGCAACAATCTGTCTCGCTGCTTACTTTATAAAAAAGTAAATTTTCTGAATTTTACCCACTACACATAACAAAAACCAAGCCAACAGACACCTTGATAAATGGAACAAACATGATTATACTGCAGGCATTAATAAGATAAAGTGAATGTGTCCCTGGTGCTGAACTGAGCGGCATGCAATTAAGATGTATGTTGAAGAATTCCGTCTTCTGTGTTGTTGCGCTGTGTAGTCTGGTAGATGTTAACATCCAGCGCAACAACCCAGAAGACAGAATTCTTCATACTCACCGCTGTGAAAACCTCAAATCCTACAAGATGTATGTTCTTACCCTTGACACTAGATGGAGGGGAATGGTCAGCTTCATGACCTAACCCAACCACAGTTTTCATTGAATAGGAGGCTGGGTACACCCCAGAGAGGGTACAATATATAACTATGAGATTCTAATTATTGCTTCTGTTCACTTGACCTTTATAAAACAAAAACAAAAATTCATGGCCTTTTCCCTGACTTCACCTTTATCCTAAAATGGATCCAAGATTTTAAATAAAACAAAATCATAATCCTGCTCCTACAAACATGCAAAATGTCACCCATTGCAGTAAAATATAAATGTACTATTATCATATAAATGTTGTTACCATATCCATTACTACTAGATTGGGCAGCAGCATAAGATTCACCTTTCTCAAAACTAAATTAAAAAATAAACATACCTTCTCAACAGCTGTAATTCATGCATTGCTTTGTCACACTGTTGCTTCAAACCGTCATAGTCCCGGACAGAAGTTGAAGATAGGCTTCTGTCACTGTTAGATACAGTATATCCACGTGACAGTGTACCTAACAACACAAGATCAGGATAAATTAAAAAAAATTTATACAGCTAAAAACAAGCTGACAAACTGCACAACCTCATTCCAGTAGTCAATACAACACAACATAGGACAAATCTGTATTATAATCACAACTCACCATTACTTCCTGTGCTGTCTAAAGACGATGCTCCAGATGCCATGTTCACTTAGGCACAGGATATTCCACACCAACAGAGAAGCTCAATTATAGACTGGCTACCATTCAGTTCTGAATCTTTTGTCTTCCCATCTCCAAACTAAAAAACATAAAGATTAAAGTATATAAACTATAATTCCATATGTTCTTTTGAAAGGGAGTGAAGCTTGATGTTTGAGAACAGGATTCTGAAGAGCATATCTGGAACTATAAGCGAGGACTTGGCATGATGCTAGAGAAAACTCGTAATGAAAAGCTTGAAAACTAATATTCTTCAGCACATATGGTTATAATGACAAAATAGGTGTATGAGATGGACAGATCACACATGGAAAATATAAGAAATGCATACAACATTTTGGTTGGGAAAGTTATAGGAAAGAAACCACTTGGAAGACCTTGTGAAAAAACAGATAATCATAAATAAGGTGGGATTGTGTGGATATGATTCATCTGACTCAGAATAGAGACCAGTGACAGGCTTTTGTAAAAACAGTAATAAACTTTCAGGTTCTATAAAAATATGCAGGGAATTTGTTGGCCAGATGAGCAACAACCAGCTTCTCCAAGACTCCGCTCCTTTGAGTTACTTACCAATAGAATGACCTAAATTCAATTACAGTTTACCTGTGAATAAAACATTATACCATGTATAATCTAAAAGTATTCCATAACAGTTCACTATACCATACCACAGCAATTTACCGAGATAGAACTTAAAATGTGCACACAACAGTAGCACAAGGCCAATTTAGTTCACATCACACTAGGAAAATAGTGATGAGACTAACTATTTTCGACTTATCTAGTCATTATTTCAAAACGATTTGACACTGCAACATAATGTTTTTAGAATTTTTTTTATCAAGGTCCTCCTTGGGCCAAGAATTTCACAGAAATGTTCTACATCCTGCGGCTCTTAACTTCATATGTAAGAAAATAAAACAAAACTAGATTTACTTGGTTTATATAAATAACTTTAAAAGCGGAACAGAGCAGTACAACCAGTCTAAAGTCAGCTGACCGAAAGCAACTTTCAGATCACTTCTGGTGACGGCTGCTTAGTTGCCATACTGCGTGCAGCTGGAAACAATAATTACATGATTAAAACTATGCACCATTATATTACACACTAGAAATCTTTACAGTTAATCCTGAGCATAACTATAAAATCCTACGCTTACCTGGGAATTGATCCCAACGAATTTTCTTGCGCAATAAGTTGAATATTGCTTTCTACATCATAGATACTACACGTACTCCCATTTCACACACACACACACACACACACACACACACATCGTGGCCTCCTACATTCCGTTACACAACAGTGATCAGTGTGAAGACCTGATGTAAATTATAGACCTCGAAGAGCATTAGTACTCTCGCAACACATAGATGATGTAGGCGATCCATGCTCGATAGCTAACCTACTTCACAGATATCACCAACTTATACTACTTAAACACCAAGGTACTACAAAATTTCATTTGTCGAGTTGACACTGTTCAGAAAGTGTTCTTCTGATTAGTAGCGCATTCAATGAAAATACGAAAGTTGCTTTATGATTGAATTAAACTTATTGAAGTTACTGCTTTTTGTGCCTGTAACTTAGATATAAGCATTTGTTTTTAATTCGAAGAGTGCATTACAGCTGTATAGAATTACATAAAGATGTCAAAACTGGACAAGTATTATTACAGAGTCTGCAAAATAAATATACCTAGAGGTAAACTGTCAATAAGTAATTAAACGTCCCTAACTAATTTGTCAGTGCCTGAGTGCAGTTACACAGAATGTCTGATGACCCTATCATACTTAATTTTCATGAGGCATTGCTACACAAATCAGACATTGACTTGCTGAGTGGTCCACACTGGTTGAATGATATCATTATAAACTTTTACTTTGAGTATCTTGAAAAAATTGCTTATAAAGATGAGAACAAGTTTCTGTTTGTTAGTCCTGATGTTACACAGTGTCTTAAAATAAGCCCATCTGATGACATGTTTGTTTTCCTTGATCCCCTACAAGCAAAGAAACGGGACTTTATTTTTCTGGTGTTGAATAATTGTGAAAAGACAGATTCTCCTGGTGGCACACACTGGAGCCTTCTAGTGTACAGCAAGC